CTAATCACATACAAATATGAGACAGATTAGCAAGAGAAGATAACCAAATTTAATACATTCGTATGTATGGGAAACCCCACATACATGAGAGAGTCAGAGACCCCACATGCAGGAGAAGTTTATAAAGGGAGACTGAGGTGTGTAAGACATCCGGAGCTGGGGATGAGGGGACGCACCTGGGGGATTCAAAGGATCATTGCAGGTTGACAAGAAGAACAGACATTTGGTAAAGAGAAGTTTGCCCTGCCCTATAGATAGGTCAAAAGAGGTTGTCTCTGATGATCTCTCATCACGGGCAAGCCCCCGGTTCCTGTTAGTCCAGGTAGTCAAGGGAGGGGCAGAAGCTTTCTTTGAGCCTGCAGCTAAAGTTGCCTGTAGCTCAAAACAATCTGCATACCACAATGACACATCTTGGGGTGACCTGTTCTGGACCCCCACAGGATATATAAAGAATTGGCTCAGGTGGTTATGGAGGCTGACTAGTCAGTCCCAAGATCTGCAGAATGAGCTGGCAAACTATGGACTCAGGAGAACACGTGGTGTAGTTCCAGTCCGAGCCAGAAGGCCAGAGAACAGCAGAGCCGATGGTGGTGTTTCAGTCAACAGGCTGGCAAGCTTGAGGGCCAGGGCAAGCCAGTGCTTTTGTTTGTTCTGGTTCTAAGGCAGTCAGGTAGGAGGAATTCTCTCTTATTCCAGAGAGGATCAGCCTTTTCTATTCAAGCCTTCAACTAATTGGAAGAGGCCCACCCACATTGAGGGCAATGCGTCACTTGGTCTCCAGATTCAAATGTTAATTTCACTCAAAAACACACTCCCAGAAACACTCAGAATAATGTTCAAATATCTGGGCACCCCAAGGCCCAGTCATGGTGATGCATACATTTAATCATCACCGTTATTTTCTGTCTTATTATAATCACTCTAGTAGATATGAAGGATTATCTCACTATGGTCTTCATTTGCATTTTCCTAAGGATTAATGGTGTTGAGCACATTTTCGTGTACTTAATAGCCATTTGTATCTTTTCTCTGATGAAAAATAAGTTCCTATCCATTGCTCATTTTTTAAATTAGGTTGTTTGTCTTTTTCTTATTGAGTTTAATGTGTTTTGTGATTTTTCTTGTGAGCTCATATTAATTGACATTTTTTAGCATGGTAGCTTTGGGGGCCAGGTTGAGAGTGTACTTCTCCCTGGAAAGATCAGAATTTACCTCTGTCTGGAACCCAGAGGCACTACAGACTTAGGTCCACTTTCAATTAAATCCTCCCTGTCATTTCTAAGCCAAACAGGTGATGTAATATACTCCCTTAATCTTTCTGTGGCTCTGGTGACTATCTTTGCTGAACAACAATAACAAAATCAAAATGCATGGTCAGAATGGAAGAACTTGTGGGGACCAAGGGCCAGAGTGTTCGAAGTCATTCTGGGACTTGCCTGGGAAACCCAGATTGTATGCAGCTACAGGGCCGTCTTCACCGAGAGTTTTCAAGCCTGGCAGGGCCAGGTGGACAGAATGTCGTGTTATGAAAATATCATCTGCAATTTAATTTTAAATACTTTAGCAGCATGATATGTGTGTGTTGTTTTTAATTGATATCCTAGCAATGGTAAAATAACAGTTGAAGCGTGCGCCCTGATGAGGAACATAAACTCCAGGAGAGGGTGATTAGCTGTTGGAAGGTTCCTAGCAGATGCCCACACTTTAGAGAGTTTTGAACATCCTTCTCTCCAATCAATGCTGAGACTGTATAGGTTTTCCTTTAGTGAAATAAACAGCATGTGTGATGTACAGATTGGCAACAAATACTGTGCAGAGGCCACCTATTCCTGCACGACAGGATGTAGAAACCTAGGGAACCCAATGCACATATGCTCTTTGTAATGGTGCTCTGGCTTAGCTTACAAAACTGATGGCTTCAGAAAATTATTGGAGGGTTGCTATTGTGAAGATCCGCTGAACCCTGCCTCTAAAATATTACTTCCTGAGTATGGAACGAATCTTTTACGCAAGGTTTGGTAAGAATACTTGGAACGACAGGGAGCTGGGGCTTTATCGAGGCTACAGAACAGTTTGTAGAACTGTTTTTGAGTGCACTTGCTATTAAATGTTTGCATGCACAAGAAAATAATTCTGCCTATATGTCATTATAACATAAAATTGTACAGTAGAACTTATAATGTTATAACATAATGTTAAACAATTAACAGCTACAAAAAGCAAAGGGGTATTTTGCTAATAGATTCCTGCTTTGAAAATCCTCCTGCTCCAATGATTTTAAAACTCTATTCTGACTTGGGAAGGAGAGGAGAGTCCTTGGACATATGGGTTAACACAAAGTATGAGGTATCTGAGGCATGGAAAAGCCTTCTTCTGTCCTATACCACGCAGAGCATTTGGACGTCTCTGAAGCCTAAGCCAGGATCTCTGAAGCTTGACTCCTACCACCTCAGAAACACTGGGGTTGGAGAGGGGTGTGATTATTTGCCAAAATGGTTGGGAGAGGGGGAGAAATCTTTATTTCTCTGGGTGAAAATATTCAGTAATAGCAGAATTGAACACCAATACTTTTATATAGTTTGAAGAAAGCTCTTCTTGGCTCACAGATTTAGACATCAATAATGATAGGCAACATTTATTGCAGGCAATCCACTCTTTGTGCTAAATATTTTACACACACCCTCTCATGAACGTATGTTCATTTCCATACAACCCTATGAATGGATGCTTTATTCCCATTTTATATAGAAGAAAAGTGAGGCACAGAGATCACGTGATTATGTGTTTGTAAACCCAGGCTTACTCCTTTTTATTCTCCACTTATATCTCTATATCCTTTAACTGGAAAGGTTGGGGCAAGTCAATTTCAACATGAGCAAGTGAGCTAAGTCTGTTTACAGGAGTTGCTCACCGAAAGGGAATCAGGATTTTTAAAACGTGACACATTTTACTGCCTCGGTGCACTTGTAACTTCTGGACCCCCCATTCCTAGTACCCCGTTGGTACAGACCTCCTGTAGAGCAAGGCTGCTAGAAAGGGAGCGGCTCTTTTTGCAGGAGAACCAATGAGATGGCTGGATCTTGTGAGCGGCATGTGTTTGGCCAATGGGCTCCGCACCGAGGCCCGCGAGGGCACCGGAAATTTGGGTTTGAGCATGTGGGCCCCGGGGTGTGGCGGCTGCGTTGAACGCAGGTGGCTCCTGAGGCCCGCAGAGGCAGGTGGGGGCTCGGGGCCTGGTGAGAGGCCTGGACGCGGGTGTGGAAGGCCGGGGAGGCCGGGATCGCTCCGGTACTGGCCCGTGGGCTTCGGCTCTAGCTCGTGGTGGCGCGGTGGCCCCTCCACGCCCACGGGCGACCGCCCCCGTCCCAGGTGCAGGGGCCTTGAGCTCCGGGTGGGCCGGGAGCAGGAAGTGGTTATTTGAGGCTGCGTGTGCGGGCCGACGCATGACCTCGAGAAGGTAGGAGTGTGGCTGCCCAAGGAGCGGGGGACTCCCGCGGGGTGTCAGTGTTCGTACGTATTACTTGGACCACAGTGGTGGGCAGGACCTCCGGGTTTAGGGGATGGTGCGTCCCTCCGAGGTGGAAGGCGGGTAGGATTTGCCCTTGGGGCGGGGGCGAGGGCTCTCTTCCGGTGAGGCCCAGTCCTAGTGGCCCAGCCCGGAGCACGCACCCGGAGGCGGGAAGGCAGGCAGGCCGGCCTCGCCTGGGGCCCTTCGCTGTTGGACTGTACGGTCAGCCAGCGATTTGTTCGCTGATCACAGGAGGGCCTTCAGGAGCGTGTGCCCGCCTCTGTTACCATGATGACGGAGGGGAGGAGGGCTGGGGAAAGAGGAAGATTCCAGAAATCCTTCATTGGTAGGTGTTAGAGCGCTTCTGAGCGTGTCGCAGTTAGGCAACTGTTCTGAATTCCACGGGCCGTGCTGCGGAGGTGTGAGCCAGAAGGCCAGGCTAACTGCAAAGGAGATTAAGAAATCAAAGGGGAGAGCCTTTGAGGAAGGGAGGCATATCCTGCCTTTTTAGTGTAAAAGAGGGTAGCTGAGCTAACCTTTTTTATTGTCAGATCCTGGACCCTCCCCACCTGTAATATTAATTTAAGAATTGTGTGTCAGTCTTTTCCTGAAGTGTGTAATCCAGTTTCTCCGTAGCTAACACTTAAGACAGGTTTGCAAAAGTTAAGAGGAAGCCTAAGTTTTCAGTTAAGAAAGATGTTTTAGGGATCAGGGGTGGGTTAGGACAATGAAGGAAGATCCTTTAAGAAGGATTCTTGAAATCTATAGATTATAAGAGTGATCTTGAAGAGTACCTGAGACTTGGGAGGCAGGAACAGCCTCATCCCTGGTTACCTAGGGGGGAAAAAGTGTTAAATCTCAGCTGACATTCAGTAGGTATTGTAGGCTCAAAGCAGAAAGGGTCTGTACTCTGGAGACCTCAGTCTGGTGGGGTTTGAAAAGCTTTATGGGGAGGAATGGGACAAGATTCCAAGAAGTTACTAAGGAGATCAAGTAGGAGACGGAATAGTTTAGTATGATAATGAGCTGGGGGGAAAAATAGCTCTCTGGTAAAGGAAAGAGAGGCCAAAGACAAAGCAAACGCATAAATATTTATTGACAGAATATTATGATATGTCTGTGTTAACTATGATTTTCTTGGACTCATATATAAAATGCACTTCCTTCTAAAATAGGCAGTTAACATATGGAACTGAGTTCTCCACGAGGCTGTTTGGGTAGGAAACAGAGGAAGATTCAAGGAGGACTTAGCCTCTAAGGGATTGCTGATGGGGAGTGTTAGAATATTCTGGGCTAAATAGAAACTTTTGACGTGAACATGATATAGGAGGCTAGTTGTATTACTGGTCTGACCAAAAGTAAGCTTTTCTTTAATGCTTTGTGAGTCTGTCTTGAAGGAAAAGAAAAACGATTGGGGATCTCTAATCTTTATAAAATGCTGGCAGGTAATTAACCAGAACAGAACCGACACCGTGATCTCTCCCGCCTTCCAATGGATCCTGTCCGGCCACCCTTCAGGGGCCCGTCCCCCGGGCACCCGTTTGAGTGTGTACGGATGCCAGGCCCGTGGCCACAAGCTCCTAAACCTTTGGCCTCCACTCTGGGCAGAGCAAGACCTGTAGGCAGAGGCTGCCTGTTTGGAAAGCCAGAGGAGCCAAGCCCACAGAGTGGGCCAGCGCAAAGGGTAAGGCCATGTCTGACACACAGTAGCGGCATGTAGCTCATCAGAGAAAATAGTGGATCTCATAGTGCTCCGAAAACTGTGAAGGCCTGTATATGAAAATAAGGGTTGGTTTGTTTGCTTGTTTACTTGGGTTTTTCCCCCTTTTAACAAGTAGTTGCTTCTCCTGAGCATATATTTCAAATTCTAATTGAGAATCTAGAAACAGTGCTGCATGATGAATGCTGAATGGATTTGGGTAAATGCCTTAGTCCTCTAGCTTATATAAATATATGTATAAATATAAATACATAAGCAGTAGGCTTAAAGATATATCATTTTGCTCTTCCTGAGTGTTTAGATTTTTACTCAGGATTTGGCTTTATGGTATTAGCACCCACTTCTGCCTCTGAGGTAATAACTATTAAGAATTTTTTTTTTTTTTGAAGGCTCTTTGCCCACATCTTTTAAAAAAGAGGATCTTCAGCTATTGCTACTACTTGTATGTGCGTTCTTAATCTCCTAATTATACAGAAATTTTAAGATGGTATTTGTCTATTATTAATAAATCTCAAAGAATAAAGAGTTAGCAAATATAGGGAAATCTAGTAATACAGTTATGACAATTTTAAGTTGAGTTGACAGTGTCAAATATAATGTTCTGTAAAAAGGAAATTTGATGACAGTAATCCTGTGTTTTTACTTGGATGAATTGCTTGAGTCTGTGTATGGCAGTTTGAACTAGTGTAACAGCAGTAAACTTTTAAGACTGCTACAGAAAAACAATAGCAAGTTTTTTTGGAGGTTGTTCTAGAAAAACCCATATGCGATTAAATGACCCAGTTTTTTTAACATTTATTAACAAATATACTCATTTCCTCTTGAGTATACTTGTCCACCTTGGGTGTACTGGAAATAAACCAGAAAAATATAAAAGTTAAATCTGTTACACTGTATATCAAATCACGGACTATAGCTATTTGTGCTTAAAAACCTAATATGACATAGTTATGTGTTTTAAAAAAATTGTAGGTATTTAAACATTTTTATGAGATGTTTTTATTCTTTATTGTAACATTTATAGAATTTAAAGAAGATGATTTTTATTATTTACCAAGACTTTTAAGAAAAGCATCAGTGCTTGTGGGGTTTGAAACTACATCTTGGAATGACTTTACTCTCTGCCTTTCCACAGGAATCTGTGGGTTTGGTCTCCATGTTCCAAGGACTAGGCCTTGAAACTGAGCCGCAGACCCCCGTGAAGCGGGACATGCCTTCTTTAGGTGTGTGGGAAATGAACTAGAGAAAACATGGTACTATGTGTGATCGCTTTATTCTTAAATTCCTACACTTTATCTTCAGAAAAATAACTGTGTGACATGTTCAACTCACAGTTATAGCTGGCGTTTGATCCTCCCATTCAGGCAGAGGCATTTTAGGTCGAGGCTTGTCTATCAGCACGGCGCACAAGGAAAAAGAAGAACCCCGTCCCGCTTGGCCAAATCCGTCCGTGTTGGCAGCTGGGGATAGCAAGATGGCAGAGGCATCCATTGGCTGGAGTAGGTGGGTCAAGGTCTCTTCTCAGGGAATTGTCAAATTCAGAAGAAGTATCTCTGTAAGTCCAAAGGGCAACTCTAAAAAGGTGGTATTGCCCTGGCCGAGTGGCTCATTTGATTGGAACGTTGTCCCCTACAGCAAGGCGTTGCAGGTTTGCTTCCTGGTTGGGGCATATGCCTGTGTTGTGGGTTCGATCCCTGGTCGGGTCTCATACAGACGGCAGCTGACAGACCTCTCCTCCCCTCCCCAAAATCGATAAAACATATCTTTGGGAGATACGTTTTAAAAAACATATTTTTTTAAATAGGTTTTTTTTCTAATGAAAAGGTTGTATCATCTCACAAACTATACATGGTTTTATATTAAACAATGAATCCTTCCCAAGAGTAGTCAGTAGCTCCTGATTCCATGAGTCATTGGAAAAGAGCAAAGAATTAGTTCTCCACTGGGTACTTCACAACTTCATTTGACCTTTGAAGAAGTTAACCTGATTGTAGTGGTTCTTTAATCTAAGGGAGTCAAACTCCCACCTCAGTTCTGCCGTGAAAGTTTGGCCCTGAGAGGCAATATTAGTAGCAGTTGGTGAGGGAGTCAAGTTGGCATTATTGGACTTGGAGAGAATCCCAAGGCTTATGTCCCTCTTGCTGACTCCTCCAGGCAGAGAATGCAGACTTGGGGGAATCATTTAGATGGAGCAGAGATAGAGGCATGATTGCCAAGGTCCTGATTTGCCTCTCTTCAACATTTCAGAGCGCTTGGGAGAGGGAATTTGGATGTGCCTGTGTTACCATTGGGAAGGGCAGCTGGTGGAATAGGCAGAGGCATGTACAAGGCTCCCGGTGCTGTCAGCCTACCTTCTTGCGGTCCTGTCCAGCAGGCATCGCCGCCACCTCTGCCCCTGTCCTCACTGCACTCGCTGGATCACCTTCCGCTGGGGACTGCAGAACACAAAAAAAAGTAAGTCAGGTGCTCAGCCTTCACTGCTTGGTAGTGATGTGGGAGGGGACCTTCTCGTAGTATTATAAATGTTTCCGTTGTGTCTGAAGCCCTCCATGGGTGATAGTTATTGCAAGGTCATTCGTTTTGGTTTTTGCTCATGGGGAGAAGGACAGAGAGGTGGGACAGTCCCTGGTAAAGGGAAATGGGATTAATGATACAGTATGTACCAGAGAGTGGACTTGTGACTTCCCACTTCCTTCCCAGTTCAAACAGAGACAGTCCTTTGTCATAGTGCAGATAAGGAAATCACTAGGAAAAATATCATGCAATTCATTTTTCTCTGTAGACTTAATTCTTGTGTTCCTAGTTAGCGGGCCTAGTTTATTCCAGAGGTAGTACTCAAACAAATAGGGTGACCTTGCTTCTTTAGAGATTGCAACTAGCCTTCTGTCTCTTAGCTACTAGCCATTTATCTACTAACCTTCAAAGTGTGCTTTTGTATGCTTCAGTTCTTGCTTTGTGTATCTGTAAGCAAAGTGTAAAATATTACTTTCTCTTACCTGTTTGTGTGTGTGTTTGGTATGGGTTGTTTTTGTTTGTTTGTTTTTGGTATGTGTGGGTGCCTTTTTTTTTTTTTTTTTTTAATTTTCCAGAGAGCTTTTTGTGAAGCAGGGATCAAAAGGAATACCTCAACCTTTGGGATTGAACCTTATCGAAATACAGTGTCAAAATGAAGCAGTTTATCAATATCATGTGACTTTCAGGTATTCACAGCTTTTTTTCTCTGTATTGTTCTTTTCTCTCTGTATTGTATTACTTCTTAGCAGTAATGAAATTGTTCACCTGGAATAACTGAATTTTTTTTTTTGTATTTCTGATGAACTTCTCCCCCACCCCCACAATAATGCATGTATGAGGAATCTTGCAGTAAGTATAACATTAAAAAATTTTTTTAAATTTAGTTATATTACCAATCCAGAGTTTAACCTAATAGGTGAAGTTTTATACATGAGATTAGAGGTGATTTACTGTGAAGTTAATGAAGCTTAAGTTCAGGGCCTTATACTTCAGTAGGCCCCATTCCATGACCTCTGAACTTACTTTGTATCTGTAATTTTGTATTCTCCTTAAACAGAGTCTCCCTCCCCCAGCGGTGTAAGATGCACCACCCACAAAACCTGGGCCCTCCCTACATGAGGTCCTAGTCACTATTTGACAGCTCTCCAGTGACAGTCTAGGGTTAAATTTGGGGGTGAGAAAATCAGAAAAGTAAGTTTACTGTTACATCAATGACTTTAGGGTGGACCATACTTTTTTAAAATTAAGAATTTGTATTAGTTCGTGTTCTCTCTCAAAATGTCAAGAGAGTCATTAGCTGGAGGTTGATGGTTGAAATTGTGAAAATGAGTGTTTTGGAATGTCTGTGGAGAAACTAGGCAGATAGAAGAGTGAATTTAAAAACAATGTGTTTATTGATTTTAGAGAGAGAGGAAAGGATAGAGAAACATCGATGTGAGAAAGGAGAAACATTGATTGGTTGCCTCCCATACACACCTCGACTGGGGATCGAATCCACAACCTCGGTATGTGCCCTGACCAGGGATCGAACCTGCAATCTTTTGGTGTATGGGACGATGCTCCAACCAACTGAGCCACCCGGCCAGGGCGGAAGACTGATTTTTTTTGAAGGACAGCTACTATTTGGTACATGAGGAGGAGGTGGAGTGAAAGAGGAGAAGAAAGGAAGTTAGGGGAAAAACCTCGAAGACAGGTTATGAAGACCAAAGGAGGGGCCCATTTAAATGAGCAGGGGGTTGACTTTGGCCACAGGGAAAAAAAACTTACTGAATTTGCTTCCAAGAGCACCGTTGGTGAGCTTCTGGTACTTTGTTAGAGTTATGAAGACAAAACTAGACTAAAAGAACAAAGGAGAGCATAGGAATAGCCAGTGAATTGGCCCCTTATTTAAAAAGTGTGTAAGAGGAATGAGAAATGGTGTAATAATTGAAGAGGGGAGCAGGATTGCTTTAAAGATGTCTGTACGGTAAGAAAGCACGCTGAGCACAAGTGGTAGGTAAAGAGAAGGATTTAGAAGGGAGGGTGAAATTGAATATTGGAGAGTGGAAGGTACTAGAATGGGCCTGCTCTGGAACATAAGGGAAGTTGAATGTTTACAAGAGGGAAGAACTTGTTATGGGGAAACAGACTGACAAATTTTAATGCAACAGAAAAGGGTGTGAGAGCCTTCACAGGTCTTTGCCTTGACCAGGAGAAGACATGGATTCGCCAAATTTCAAGATTGTAAATCTGGACCTTTGAAGCTACAATGTGAGGATGCCCGGACACTGAGGATTCTCAGAGGATGCGTTACAGTGGCCTGGTCATCCTGTAGTTTCCTTGCACTTCAGGAAAGGAATCTGGAAAAACATCTTTTGAATATCATATTCATTTACATGCATGTGTATGCGTTTTTTTTGAAGAAGCATTATGAAATATAATGTTAACATGCGAGTGTTTTATTTTGGGGACAACTATATTGGATTACCACTTGTTTTTTTTAATCTGTTTTCGTGTAGTTGAACATGCCTCACCCCTTTTAGCCTTGGATTTGTTTAAACTTTGCCGTTGTAGAACGAGGTTGTGTGTTACTGTGATGTAATAGGGCAGTCATGGTACAAAGTAACTACTAGAGTTTTTCAAAACTGTGAGATTTGTGGTATTGAAGCAATAAAAAGCTGAAATTTCTGTGAGTGAAAAAAGGTAGAGAAAAATCCCATAATAAAGTTGTGCAAGAACGCAGCTGTGCTCATTGGTTCACATGTTGTCTCTGGCGCTTTTGTGCTGAGTCTGCAGAGGTGAGTAGTGTCAACAGAGACCATGTGGCCAATGAAGCCTAAACTATTACCACCTGGCCCTTTATAGAAAAAGTTTCTTGACCCTGTGGTCTAAACTCTGAAAGGATGCTATGGCACTTGTCTTTGGGAGTGGAAATTATGGGTGGTTTTTATTTTTTGTGAGCAAGTACCCTTGGGTCAAAGTTCTTTTTCAGTCAGAGTAGTTGAATTTTTAGCATGACCACTAGATGGAGCAATAGTTACAGGAGACTGCTTCTCTTAACCTGAAGTTCAGACTGCTGTTTGAGTGGAATTGAAATAAAATCCTCTCTATTATTTTCTAGCCCCAATGTGGAGTGCAAAAGCATGAGGTTTGGCATGTTGAAGGACCATCAGGCTGTCACCGGAAACGTCACTGCTTTTGATGGATCCATCCTCTATCTGCCTGTTAAGCTTCAACAAGTGAGACCAAACAGAAAATGTACTTCAGGGTGTTCTGGTGCTTGGAGTGATAGGAAATCTTAAACTTTCTGAACATTTGAACTGTTCTTTCCTATTCTTAGAGGGAAGTTAGACTTCTCCATGACAATGAGATGACAAACTGAGAAGCCTTACATTTGAATTCTTTAAGAATTCCATTCTTGCACAAGAGGAGTGGCTGGAATCCTTTGACCTCAGTGATAAAGAGTGGTTCAAGGTTTCAAATTTAAAGGGATCTTTTGCTTGTTCTCCACTGGATATCTCTCACCAAATCCAGTCTCTTTTTAAAAAAAAAAAAAAAGTTTTTTTTTTGGGGGGGAGAGAAGCATTCGTTTTATTTTACTTTATTCATTAATTGATTGATTGATTCTTATATATGTCCTGACTGGGGATCCAGCCCACAATCTTGGTGCATCAGGACGATGCTGTAACCAGCTGAGCTACCTGGCCAGGGCCTCAACAAATTGAGTCTTAAATCCTGGTTGTCATGCTGTGGTTTTGTCCAGTGTGGGCAGCAAAGTAAGGGGAAGGAAGAAAAAATTTAAAATATTTTAATGTTTTCTGAGACACAGTTGGATTAGATTAGGGCTTGATACTTGTGTCGTTTATTTTTACTTACATATATTTATTTGTTAGGTTCTTGAGGTAAAAAGTCAAAGGAAAACCGATGGTGCTGAGATCAGCATTAAAATTCAGTTGACCAAGGTCCTGGAGCCCTGTTCTGACTTGTGCATTCCTTTCTACAATGTCGTTTTTCGTCGGTGAGAAAACAGCTGATGTCTTATTTTCTTTACCCTCAGTCTTGTAACAGTGCTTGCTCTTCAAGAAGCTTAGGTGGTACTACACTTCAGTGCATATATAGATGAGTTTGGAAACATTTAATAAATAAATTGATGATACTCAAGCTAAGTTACTCAAAAGGTGTCTCAAGTGATTGACCAGATCTGGGTATGTGAAAGTAGGTTTGGGGTAGTTGGGTGGAGGATGGGTTGAGGAACTTTAAAACAACTGTTTAAAATGCATATTTAATGGTGTTAGGGTGGGGCTACTTGAAGAGGTAGTGTGTAAAAATTTTTGCTGGAAGAACTTTTCCCCAGATACAGGCAGATCATAACTTCTAAACTTTTTTAGACTCCCTAGTTTTCATAATGTTTTTTCCCCCAAACCACCTCTTTTTTCATGAAACACAGAATCTGATTTCTGTCTAGTAAGCTGAACTGCCAGGAACAAGCTTAACTTCCTTTGCCAGACTGATACCCACAAATTTAGAAGCTGACTCTCTTGAGTGCTTTTTAGTTAATGACAAAAGGAATATAAACTGAGCTCGGGAAATCAACTCAATTCTCAGTTACCTAGTGAATAGGAAAAGCTGCAATCAGTTGCATTCACCCTGAGAGAGATGCCAGGGCAACTTTTCTTACTCTTTTGTCAGTGCGTTCGTGGTAAAAGCTACACTGCCTGTGCCGAGGGCACCGATGTTCTGACCCTTTACGCTTCCAAAGGAAATGACGCTAAAAGTAATGGAGCTTAATTCTTTTGGATATTTCTGCTAGAAAACCCATTCTTGCTCTTTATTTCAGGGTGATGAAACTTTTAGATATGAAGCTTGTGGGGAGGAACTTCTATGACCCGACGAGCGCCATGGTACTGCAGCAACACAGGTCGGTGGCGTGTTGCTCTTCCTCACTTTAGAATGTTCTAGAAAGAAATTTTCATAGATATCACTATATTTAGGACAAAAATCTCAGTAGTATTTTTGGATAGGGAATACAATTTATCAGTTAAATCTCTTCCATAGTTCAGTATTTCGGTAAGTTCACAATGATGTTGATTTAATTGAATATGTTTCCTGGTACTTTCCTATTGTTACTAGGGAAGGGCAGTATCTGTTCCAAGCATTGTTTCAGATGGGGACGTGGAAGTGCCTGTGTTTCTTTTAAAACCCTAAGGTACAGCCCACCTGTCTCTTCAGATTGCAGATCTGGCCAGGCTATGCAGCTAGCATCCGGAGGACAGATGGCGGTCTCTTCCTACTAGCTGATGTCTCCCATAAGGTCATTCGCAATGATTCTGTGCTGAACATCATGTGAGTGAATGGTGGGGCCTACTTTAACAAGCTAACAAGTTTCTGAAAAGCTGGTAATAAATACAGAATAGCCATTGTTCTCTTTGGGCTTTAAATGGCAGAACAGATGAGGAATGCTGAATGGAAGTGTGCCATTGGGTAAGTCCTGCCAAGTCAGAGAGGGAAGTGTGTTCTCGTTAAGAAGATGTGGTTTAATACGAACACACCCTAAGTTTTTGTTTAAATGTGTTACTATAGCAAATAACTACTGTGGTTAGTATAGACGTGTGTTATTTGTAAGGGCCACATGAAGTGCATCTGTGATTCATTTATTAGATTGTATACTTAGAAATGGAATCCCTTTTTTTATATTTATTGATTTTTAGAGAGAGAGGAAGGGGGAGAGAGAGACATCAATTTGTTGTTTCACTTATTTATGCATTCATTGGTTGATTCTTGTATGTACCCTGATGGGGAATCGAACCTACAACCTTGGTGTATCGGGACGATGATCTAACCAACTAAATTACTGAGCCAGGGCCTAAATGAACTTAGTGAAAAGGCTGAACATTTGATGCCCTGGCCGGGTAGCTCAGTTGGTTAGAACATTGTCCTGATACACCAAGGTAGCAGGTTTTATCCTCTGTCGGGGCACATACAAGAATCAACCAATGAATCCATAAATAAGTGGAACAACAAATTGATGTCTCTGTCCTCTCTCTCTCTCAAATCAATTTTTAGAAAGGCTGAACATTTTAAAGACTTTACATATTTAACATAACAAGATGTTTAAAATATATCTACAAATTACTCTCTGGAAGTTTGTTTTATTTATTCAGTTCATTTTCCCACCAGCTGTGTACAGCTACTGGGTATTACTAGGTTTATAAATCTTTGTTTATATGATAAATTTATTCACTCTTTTACTTAGCTTCAGTTGTTACCAGAGTCTTGGGACATATCAGTTAACAAAACAAAGATAGATCCCTTCCTTCATGGAGTTTACATTGTGGTCAGATCAGAAAAAATGATAAATAATAAGCGCAGTGAGCCAGCTGTGTGGCGTACTAGAAGCGATGAGAGCTACAGAAGAAGGAACGAGTCCGACGCAGGGCGGCAGGGGTGAGGAGTATCGGAGGCGAGGGGAGCGGGGTGGGGGCGGAGAGCTGTGATTTTGAGCAGAGTGATCAAGCTCACTTGAGGCAACTCTTGCCGGGAAGTGAGAGAGTGAGCCAGGTGGCTACATGGGAGAAGCGAACTTTGGCAGAGGGACAGCTGGGGTGAGGGCCTTAAAGCGAAATTATGCCTGGCTCATTCCAGAAGAGGCAGGGAAGCCATGGTGGCTGAACCAGAGCCAGGTCAGGGTATGGAGGGGTGGAGTGGATGCAGGAATGAGGACAGAGGGCTTTGGGGGTAGTGTAAGGATTTTAGCGTTTACCCAGAGTCAGATACAGGCCTTGTAGCCACCGAGGGATGTGGCGTGACTTGAGTGTAAGGAAAATAAATTCGTAGGATGGGGAAGAAGTGCGGAGACCAACCAGGAGGCCATTGTAATCCTCTGGGGGAATGAGGGAGGCAGCAGGCGAGGTGCTGAGAGTTGCCTGGCTTCTGGATATATTTTGAAAGCAGCGTTCAGCTGATTTCCTCATGGATGTGGGGTGTGACAGGTTGAGGGTGGGTCAAACTTTGGGGGGAATTTGTAATGATTTATCCTATTTCTTCTTGATCACGGGGGCTGTGTCTCTCCCACATGGCACACCCAGCCCTAGTTTATTCCTAGTACGTAGTAAGTGTTCAAGAATATTACTATTTCGTTATTTATGTTTTCTGCCTTCACTTTTCTGCCTAGAAAGGTCTACTTATTTTATGTTTTACGTTTTCCAGTGTTAACCTTCTGATATTTATCTTGGTGGGATCTCCGTGATTATCTTGGTACTATTAAATGATTTATTGAAAAGTATTTTTCTTTAGATGTAAAGCACTACCTTTGTCATATTCTAAAATACTTGGAATTATTTCTAAATACTTCATTTTGATTCACTGGTTGAAACCAGTGTGATGCTCTTGTAATTATTGTAATTTATAGGTTTTAATATTTGTCGAGGAATTCCATTTTCAGAATTTTCATAATGAATGCCACCCACATACTTTTTTGTGTGCTCCATTGAGTAATTTAGTGAAAATAAGAAAAAAGTCGTTGGCATTTAGATTGGCATTGACTAGGGAGAATGTTTAGTGAGTCTTCCTATTCACAGATATAGCATGTCTTTCCATTTATTGAAATTTGCTTTATTTTTTATTAAAGTTCTACTTTTGTAAAACTTTTAGTCATATTTTATTGTGACTATGCAAAATCTATATATACAGATGAGCTGTGTAGTATATACTATGATTTTTCTGTTTTCTGCACAATTGTTTATCTTGGATATAAAAATTGTCTTTTCTTCTCATTGTCTAAGTACATAATTGTATATGTACTTGCCACTAATTTAACTTCAAATTCTCCTCACTCTACCTACATTCCAGTGCTAGTTATTTTGTCAATTTCATCCTCCCCTCCCCCAAATTCTATTTCTTGGTTTGTCTGTATAAAATCACCTCTAGCTCTGAGCACCCATTCCGGCAGATAGTCAGAAGTCCTATGTCAGGCATCGCCCCATTGTGTCACACACACAGACCCTGGAGTGTTTGCGATCCTGGTCTTTAGTCCGGCTGTGGTGTCCAAGCTTGACTCAGGCGCACAGAGTGTGACTGTGCTGTCAGCGTGGGGTCCTCATGGCTCAGTCCTCCTGGTACCCTCACTGTTGTTACAGACTTAGGATTCTGCACCTCTCTTCCCCTGTGCCCTGTGTGTTCTTACAAACCCCCAGAAACCACAGAAGAGCAGTTCTTTTCCTGGAGGTCAGAAATGCCCAGTCCTCAGACATGCAGCAGCTTTTATCCGTAGCAGGAATGGCCCAAGAAATGGTTCACGTATTTCTCAAAGGATAGTGAGTCTGCTAAGGTTTGCCAAATAAGATTAAGTGCTGTGTGTTGCTATTGAACTCTCAATAATGCATTTAGTGACCCATCGCCACAGAGTTCAGCGACATCTTAGGAATCTCTGAATCGGTGAAAGCCTGGCTGGCTTCGATTGGGTCTGGCTGCTCTCGAGGCCGGCTGGACAGCCGTGGGCCTGGGGTTCCTCCACTTGCAGTGAGGGCTCCCTGCCCCTCCTACGGCAGGTCGGTAGCTGGGATCTGTGACTGCTTTGTTCTGGGTTTACTCTCTTGTTTTGGGGAAGGCTACATTGCAGGAACTGTTTTTGAGACCTTACATGTTTGAAATGTCTTTATTTTACCTTAATTTAGTTGGGCATAAAATTCTAGGTTGGAGGTAATTTTCTCTCAGAATTTTTAAAACATTTCTCCAGTGCCCCTTTTTTTAAAAAATAATCTTTATTTACAGTTACATATTCTTTCACAGTGAGACTGTTTCCTTATTTAAATTGAACTCTTCGGATGTTCTGATAGTAATGCTCTACTTGAATACACCTTATTTCTGGGTTTTTCCACTCCTTCACCTTGTAGGTGAGTAAGCAACCATTTCCTACAGCAGCATTCTATGTTTTTCACCTTAATTATACCTTTTGGGCAAACCCAAACCTTGCTTTTGACATTGCTTCACCCCTTCTTTTTTTTTTCCTTCCATATTTTTCCCCAGCTTTATCTGTTAATTACTATATAGGTATTATACTTTTAAAAATTTATTATTATAATTTAATAATATATTTTAATATTGGTAACACAAGCCCTCCGTCCTTACTCATATTTTTATCTTCCTTTATCTTTTCTATAACTATTTGCACATTTATTCTCCAGATTAATTTTAGAATCTTTTTGCTGAGCTTCCAAAAACTGCCACTGCAGTTTTGCTCCATTGTCGTTTTGCTTTCTGATTTGCTGGTGAACGAAACCTAAAGCTGTTCTGACTTCTGAGTCCAGCATCTTCATAGGTTCCTACCCCGGCATCCCCTCGGAGGCCCTGGGAGCTTCTCTTCATTCTTCTGAAATTTTATATATTCGTCATTTCTTTCATGTCACTTAGGAATCTGATTAGTTTTCCTTTGCCTGAAGAACCCCTGTAGTATTTCCCTTAGTGTAGAATCTGCTGGTGACATATTCTCTCAGTTTTTGTTTAAAAATACTGGGTTGGCCAAACAGTCCATATGGTTTTTTCAGTAAAATAAAAGACACATTTTTCATTTTCACCAATTACTGTATTGATTTGGATATTTTGAGTATGTTGGCTATATCCCACATGATATAATGTTGATTATTCTCAATGTCTCAGTTTGATCACTATCAACATCAACAGGTCTACCCAACTGTGGAGCATCGTCCAGTGAGAAATCTCCAGCACAGGACCTCACAAACCATTTTTTACACATTTGATCAATCACAGCACCTTCTCCATACACTGCACAAGTCTTTTTCAGCGTTTCAGTTACATTTTTACCTTTCTTGAAATAATAAAGCATAATATGCTGAAAATGTGTATTTTCTTCTATCTTCAATATTAAAATGGCTACACAAAAATTCATCAATTTTGATAAGTTTAAAAAAAAAAATGCACACTGAGCCCTGCTGGTGTGGCTCAGTGGATTGAGCACTGGCCTGCGCACTGAAAGATTGCTGGTTCAGTTCCCAGTCAGGGCACATGCCTGGGTTGTGGACCAGGTCCCCAGTTGGGGGCGCACAAGAGGCAAACCACACATTGATGCTTCTCTCCTTTTCTCCCTTCCTTCCCCTCTCTCTAAAATAAAATCCTTTAAAAAATAAAAATAAAAAATAAAAAATGCATACTGATAAGACAGCTGTCACAATACAGTCTAACAAAATTGTTTTGAATGAAGTTAAAGACAACTAAGCCATACTAGAGCCATCTTATGGAAAAAACCAAATGAGCTTTTTGGCGAACTCAGTACATATGTGTTTTATATCTTGCCTTAAACTGAGAATTCTAGGTTTGGCAGTTATTTT